ATTTGATCCAGTTCAATGGCCATGGACACATGACACCAAAATTGAAAAATCATATTTTTTAGGAAAGCGGAGGCTTGCGCGAAAATGTGACCGCAACGCTATTTGTCCTTTGGTTTGCAACTACTGAGTACTGTCTGCATCACCTTGATAAGGGTTGTGCGAGGCGTATTTGCCCCAGTCCTCAAAGCGTGAGATCAAGGCACTTTGTTCCTGTGCTCCCAAAAGCAACCGCACCAGAAGGAGTTCATGACCGGCAGTCCGTAAAGGGGCGCATCTCCCTGATTGTTCCCATCAAGCGACCAGTCAGCGATGGACCACTGGCCCTGGTAGTTGATTAAGCATCGGCTTGCCACCGAGCATCCGTCCCCTGGATAGAAACAAGGAACAAGGAGTGAAACCTTGCTGTCTCCAGGTTCCACCGGATTGACCTGGCAAAGAACAAGTGCCTGTCCCTTCATATCGACCATGAAATGGGCAACATCATCTGGCATCACGGTCAGATCCCCAGCCTGAAAGATGTTGAGCGCAGCCGTCAGATATGTCTTGTCCTAGTCACCGTAAATCGCCTTGTATGCTTCCAGGTTGTCAAGAAGATACAAGCCGAGGATGCCGAAGAGGTTGTTGTCCTCGTTGAAGATGACTCGGAGGGCCTCCCACCCATCTCCGCTCCCTGCTTACCTATCCAGCTGATGAGAACGGAGTCGCTTTGTTGCAGGAAAGAGGCCTGCTGGTCCTGGCCCTGATCTTAAGGGACCTCGGGTGAGGCATGCGAATGGTTAGTCGAAAGACCGATTGGATCAGCGGTGTGTGCCTCTGGTCCAAAGGAATCAACAGGATTGTCTCGCAGCAACGGCACGCCCTCCCAGGATTTAGGCTCCAGTCCTCTAAAGAGCAGAACTTCCCAAGACTCGGCCGTCAAGGGAGATGAATTTGCAGCTGTGCAGGCTGGGCTTGCTAGCTGAGTGGACGGAGTGGGAGAAGGAGTTGTTTCGAAGAATGGAGATTGAAACACAGATTGTGACCATCTCATAATCATGAGTCCACACAAATGAATTTTGAATAACATAAATCACGAATCCGCTTCTTGGATCTGCGTTCGTAAGATCTGTTCCACGATTGCATTGAAAACTCGTTGTTGCGCGTGAAGTCACCACCCCATCTCCTGGTGCCACAGGCCGAATTAAAAGGCAATCAAAATAGAGCGACCCTGCATTTGGTTGCGTGTAACCATAGACGATCGTTTGACCTCGTACATCACTTGGTCTACAAATGTATTGACAATTTGCGTCCCGTAAGATCCGTCCTGGACTTCGTAATGGTGTCGAGCTCAGTGCCGACTACTTCTGGCAATTCCAAGTTGATTGACATCCACATCGACACATTGCGTGCCGTAAACCTCACTCATATCCTAACAAAACGGTAGCTGGCGAGGAGCAGCCACCCCTCAGCCACCCCGGGTGGCTGAGGGGTGGCTGATGATTAGAAGCCACCCGGGGTGGGTGGCTGCTGGGTGGCTGATTTTCGCCATCCCCCCCGGGTGGCTGCTGGGTGGCTGATCCCAAATAGCCACCCGGGGTGGCTGATGGGTGGCTGCTCGTCGCCACCCACCCCACTTGTTAGGATATGACTCTCTGGACTGGAATGAACTCTGTTCGGTAGTGGACTTGACCTGGCTTCACTGTTCGACAGAAATCATAAATGTCCACTATCTCGACCAACAACCGTGATGACTCAAAGTTGGCCAAATTCTCAACCCAGGTTTTATAAGTTAATGAGGATCACCGCAAGAATTAGGAAAAAGTTAGACTCCAGGTTTAGCTTCAAGACTGAAGTCTCGGAATTCATGACGACTAGCAAATCATAAATAATGAAGTAGACCTGATTTGTGCATGTCCACTACCCGTTTGAATTTCTTCCCACGTTTGACTGTGATTGGCCCCTGACCCTGCTATTATTCATCGTTCACGATGGAGCGCATGAGCTTTAGGATGCAAAAATGTAAAGCGGTTTCTGGTATTTCTTTAATCGTTGCACCCTAAGACGACATGCTCGATACCATTAATGCAGTGGAGGTTTCAGGCTCCGTTCAGGCAACTCCCCATAAAAAAATCCAGTTCTGAGGGGATGTACGGATTTCTTCTTGCTCTTTTCTTTATTCATGATAGTCATCGGAACCTGAATTATGGATCACGAAACGCCCAAAAATATTGCATGCAAGCTGTTAACTTTGCTTAGATTTCCGATTTGCGATGCCTAATCCGTGATTTTTGTTGTTGTACGGTGACATGCATATCCTAAAAAAATGCGAGCTGGCGAGGAGCAGCCACCCAGCAGCCACCCATCAGCCACCCCTGGTGGCTTCTCGGGATCAGCCACCCAGCAGCCACCCTAGTGTGTGTGGGTGGCTGTGGGGTGGCTGCTGCCAAACAGCCACCCGGGGTGGCTGATGGGTGGCTGCTCGTCGCCACCCACCCCATTTGTTAGGATATGATGGACTTTCGTGCAACGTCAAATAACGAGACCCAACGTGCATGCTGAAATCGTAAATCATGAACACACTTTCAGCTTCATGACTGATTACCAGGCACCCTTTGCTGAGTGGGAAATTCAACAGCGCACTACGCGTCACAAGCACGGCCTAGGCGCTATCATGAAGGCTTGCAACACAATCATGAAATTCATGGAACCTATAGAAACGACGCGAAAGTGACAGATGTCGAAAATGACCAATTGATGTAATTTCATTGACCTTCCTGCGGGGATTTTTCATAATTTTACCGTTTGCATGTATGATTCCGGTAGCTTGTCTCCTTCAAGGCTCACTTAATTTCGTTTGGGTCATGTACTGTACATTCCCCACTCATGACGTTGTTGAAGTACACAGAATGTCTCGTGGTTCTCTACGTTGAACAGGTTCATGAATATTGACTTCTTCCTCATTTCAGGAGCTCGATCGCGACATATGGACGTTTAAAGTGTCATAGATTCATAATCTAAAAAGACGAGGGGGGTGGCGAGGGTCAGCCACCCATCAGCCACCCACACACACACATGGGTGGCTGCTGGGTGGCTGCTCCTCGCCAGCTCGCGTTTTTTTAGGATATGATTGCGGTTTCGATGCCATCGATCATGAATTGGGACCTTGTCTTGCAATGATCCAAAATCATGCGAATCAGAACGCTACTTCGCACCACAAACAAACTTTAGATAACTTACTCCTTTTTTCGACCGAAACCGACCCGGACCGATTCTTGTTCGACAACCTAGATCGGTATGCTGCACACCACTTGATCAAGAACATGCATCTGTTCGAATTCAGCTTACAAGACCGACATGTCCATGTTTCAAGATCCAGAGACATGCACCTTCTTTGATAATTGTGCTCCCCCTTCGGTTGATATGATGGCAGTACATCACCAACTTTGATCATGAGCACAAGCAGGTGATTTGGCGGGCAGGGCCGGAACCTGCAGGGATGGGTCAGAATCTTGCAGCCTCCACAAATCCATCCACATTCGGTACTCGGTCTTGAGACGTACACTTTCTGAACAAGCAACCCAGTCATCACGATCAGTCAGTCACAAAACAGTCTTGATTGAGAGGGGTCCGATTTTGATTGAGAAAGCATCAATCAAAAATCCACTACGCGCGATCTCGGTTGAAAAAAGGAGTAAGTTAGCGGTTGTGATTCGGTCCTGAGTCATTGACAAGCGTTGGACAATGGTCGTAAATGATCATGAACAGTCACGCACTTCCTCACAAAACATGGGCTGTCGACGAGCAGCTTGGAAGCAGCCAAGTCGCTTGGCTGGCGCAGGGCTGATAACGCCAGTTCGCGATTCTTCAAGATGTGCATAGATAATCAGATGTCAGGAAACGTGACTTGTGCGTTGCACGTTCATCATTAAGAAGCAGGAGCATCGTTGGCCTCCCTCGCTGCGTTCATACCAGCCGCCAAGCATGTGCCGGGGGAGCCCCCCGCTTCTGGCACGATTCTGCCGATGTGGTTGACGCAACCTCTCAGCCTATCGATATGGATGGTTCACGACTGTTTGCGGGAGGTTTCAATGGCTCATGTGGACTTGTTTGGCTCGTGTTCGTTCACACAAGGGTCGTGGAGTGGCCAATACGATTGTTGTGTGCGATGGTCGTGAATGAACGGAGAAGGACCTTGCGGCTTTCTGTGATTTTGTTGTCAACCGAGTCGTGTCTCATGGGAGCCATGAGTGCGGAAGGTAGAAGTCATGGATGAGTCAAAGATATGCGAGGGACCGGCATGCGGGTAGCAAGCATCGAGGAGGCGCCATTCGAGGAACCATTTGCTACCATGCTCTAAGAACGACTCGCGTTGAACAGGAAGAGAGGCTGTCAGCAAAGCTGCCACGCTCCTAGAGACAGCTTCATACCGCGATGTGTGCCACCAAGCGTACATGTGGAACGGCCGTTGATCTCAAGCTTGTCCAGGAAATGCTCACGACTGATGAGGCCCGACTGAAAACGCTCCTACTCGAGTTGTGACCGACACCATACACCATCCCGATCCGGAGCTCATGACCTGAGCACGGGCCTTCACATTGATGTGATCCATGGATCCGATTCACGAGAGGAAAGTGATGATGAGCAAGCCACCTTGGTCCACCTTCTGTTGCGGGAGCTGAATGTCATGCCGAGCTTACAACGCTTGCGATCTCAAAGCATCACGATTTGTTCCGTCGGCAAATGTGTGCTACGCACTGTATACTTGGGCTGTGTGCGGCCTGAGTTGCACGCGGGTGGTTGTCGTTTGTGGTGTGGGAGGATTCGATGCGCGCTCACTCATGTCTGTGCTGATGAAAGTCAAACGAGGGAGAAGGGAGATTGGGGGGACATATGTTTGCATTTTGCCCGTCATTGCTGGGGTTGGGAAAGAGGAACAAGTACAGATAACAGTGTCGAGGATGCGAGGTCGAGGCTGGAGCGCATGCGAATGGAGTGGAGTGTGGGGCGCGATGGGGGCCGGTTTAAGCACCTGCGGCGGCCCTGATCTTGGAGCGCTTTCCGGTCTGTGCCTGGAAACCGCTCTTGATGGCGGATACGGAGCGCTGGGAGCCGCACTTTTCGCAGGTGACAAAGAAGATGCGGTTCTCCTTTGTGAGCTTTGTCTCTGGACGCTTGCAGGTCTTGCAGATGACGTATTCGGTGATGTATCTGCGGAGGACGTTTTCGATCTGCTTTGGCTGGAAGCGGCCGCGGATGACGAGACGCTGTGCGCCGTCGACGGAGCCGATGGTGCCCAACTCGGCGAAGAGGAACTGGATGACGTGCTCTGGTTGACGGTGCATGCGCTTGCAGATGTCGACGACGTTGGCAAAGACGGTCTTTTTGGAGCCGTCGCGTGCGACCTGGGGCGGGACCATGGTGAATTTCTTCTTGTCTCCGGAGAGGGCGGGGTTCTGTGCGCGGAGGGTGTTGAATACGCGGCCGAGGAGTTCTTGGTAGGTGTAGTCGCGATCTGTGCCCTGCCATGCCTCGATGGAGGAGTCCTTGGCGGGAGCGTCTGCGTCGTCTGCTGCGTCCTGTGCGAAGGGGTTGTCGCCGAGCTGTTCGTCGTCTACGTCTGCGTATGCGTCGTTGGTGGGGGCGTCTGCGTCGTCTGCATTGTCGTCTGCCTCGCCAATCTCCTTTTCGAAAGCGTCGAGGTCGAGGGCGACCTTCTTCTTTGACTTTTTCTTCTTCTTGAGCTCACCGAACTGCAATATACAA